CTTGAGATCAGAGGCCAGATGTAATTTGGATTAAGGAAGAGAAGAAATAGTGAGCTGTGTTTGCATGCTGCAAATGAATGCAGTAATGCTGCTTTATGTCTTAATAGGAAAAGTGGCACCCTGATTTAGAAGAACACTTAAGAGTGTGCTTCTCTTTAGGAAGCGACAGTCATATAAGGCCTATTGACTTGAATGGGTTCAGTCTGTACCCATTCCAGAGGTAGGTTTATATGTATTTATTTCTGCAGAATCAAGATGAATGGTGGGAATATTAAGGACTGTGAAATTACAGACACAGAGGCATTTCTCCAAACCAGTAGGAAACCTTTTCCCCTGGCATGCTGTGTTTGCCTTTGGGAGCAGTAAGTCAGGTGTTTTGCTAGGCAGACAAAATCCTGCACGGTGCTTATAAAAATAATTATCTCTACATTTTTAGCTTTTTGTTTTGCAGCACTTAAATATGCACTTAAATTTCACTCTGAAAACTCTGAGCCAGAAAAATGTTTCTTTGGGAAAAATGCATATAATACCTAATTAAAAACATCATCCCACAGTTTTCTTTTAAAAGTACACCTACTACCATCATGCTTCCAAATGTAACAGAGCTCAACAAGTCTCTGGCAGCCAAGGGGACCCGTAATTTAAAGGCTATTTCAGCATTTTGATTAAGCATACAGTGATAACCGCAAGCCCGTGCCCTGCAGGCATGACAAGAGGCAATTATGTTCTGAGGTCAAAAGCAAGAGGGAAAGAAGCACAAGATTTTGATGACTTAATTCTCAAGCTCATGGAATTAGCAAAGACAAAAGTTCTAAATTGCCCAGATAAAATCCTGTGGCTCTCTGTGGCTGTTTCTTCTTCTGATCTGACTTTACCTTTTATAAGCTCTGGAGTGGAGTTTTCCAGTGAACGGCCACACTTGCAAAGCTTGAGTTGGCACATGTTTAAATGTTAAAAAGAGTGTTTTTCAAAGTTTTTAGGTTCAGCTGTCCTTATTTAGATAGATATCTGCACATAGGATACTGCAGAAAGGCACCTGCTTTCCAAAGTAGTGGGCAGCCGTCAGCTCTTCTTGACTTCCAGCCAACAATTAGGTCACTTATTTAGGAGATTAAATAAGGAGCTCAGTGAGAGACTGCAAAGATAGGGAGCTGCTCAAAGGAGAGAGAAGTGTATTAATGAACTAATACAATTGTGCTGTGTATTTCACAGATGGGCTTTTCTCTATCTTATTTCTTAGCAAGAAGCAAAAAATAATAATAATTTGCTCCTCACAGGAAAACCAGTGAAAATGATAAAGTAAGATTATCGTATAAGGGTACAGCGTCGACAAATGTGTTCATGAGGGAGATAAACAGCCAACCTCTAATGTCTTTTGGGAGTGTTTATTGCAGGTATCAGGATAGAAAAAAGCCATATAGAGCAGCTCAACTGATGGAGGGTGGCAGGATGGAAAACATGCACCACTTCTTTCTCCTATCATAATGTTTTATGCTCTTCAGCTATTCCTAATTCCTGATCCGAATAGTTTGACCAGGGTGTTGCATTTATTTTATGCCATAGGTCCAAGAAATAACTGTTGACTCCATGATATCACAGTGAAGTGTCTGTAAGTGAAAGCTGTCCTTCTGATGGCAAGTGACCGCGTGACTGTGAGAACCAAAAAGGTGAATTCTAGTACAGGATGAATCACATCCAGAAATGTTTTTTATCAGTTCAGGCATTCTTTAATGGGAAATAGAATGCAAGAGGTTTTTTTCTTTTGTTTGTTTGTTTTTTGTCACAAGGCCAGGTTGGATAGGGCCCTGGGCAGCCTGTTTAGAATTAAATGTGGAGGTTGGTGGCCCTGCCAGTGGTACAGGGGTTGGAGATTCATGATCCTTGAGGGTCCCTTCCAACCTGGGCCATTCTGTGATTCTGTGAGATACTTCACCGGAGATAGTTATTCATGCTTTTTTCAGTAGATAAATGCCATAAAGTCTCATGTACATATAGAATATGCAAGAAACGTCCTCTCACATCTGGCGCAGAAGTGTGTAACAGCTTTTATTAACCCCTGTATTTTCATATTAAGTGTAAAATCCTCCACTGAGGAGCCTGAAGTACTATGTCTTCCTTATTGATAGACTTGCTGTGTGATTAGGCTGCTGTCTTCATTCTCAGATAAACTTCTATTTTAATAAAACCATATTGCTAGTTGCAGCTTATAATGTCCTATTTCCACAAAACATGAGAATTAAGATTAGCTGCTTATTTACAGGATTTCTGTTGACAAATACACCAGGTTTGGACAAGTTAATTCCCAGTCAGGTAATTTCTGTGACATCATGTTTAGTGCTTACCTGCCTTGACAATATAGAACAGTTACAGCAAAAAATGCATAGGAATTTACAGCAAAAATGTATTTTCTGAAGCATATGGGTCAGAGGTTTGAGCTTTGTTTCATGTAGCAACAACTGCAAAACTAAAACATTTTTAGCATCTATCTTTGCAGTTACTGTAGTCTGTAGACACATCCACAATCCAAACATTGAAGCAAGTGGCTGTTTTCCAATGTTTTCTTTTGCATAAAGTATAAATGACAGTTGTACTACTGGAGAAAAGTATCCAAATTGCCCAAGAAACTGACCAGAGCATAGCCCCGGACAGCTAATCTTGACTGTATAGACCTCATTTTGCCTTTTTTTTTGGCAATTAATGAGAGTCATCTAAGCACATGTCAGTAGGAGGGAGTGCACTTGGCTTCAGCATTCTGCCAAAAACTGCTAGAAACCACCTGTCTCCTATACTGCCAATCTGCCAGGTTTAGTACAGAAGAGTCTCAAAAATTAAGAGCTCTCTGCAGCCCTTTCCAAAACCAACATCACATCTAAAATTTTCTGGTCCGCGATGGGCCTGTGAACACTGAAGCTAATAGAGGAAAATAAAACTTTTCCCTGCTGCCATCAAGCCCGATGTTTCACATAGCAGGGGGCTGCTAAAGATTTCTACAAGCAGATTCTTTCCAGCAGACCTGAAACTTCATTGTGTTATTTGAATGTCTGGCTAAAATTCCTGGGCTTTGCCAACTCTGACTTTTTGTTGTGCTTTTTTCTTTGTTCAAATCTTGTCTATACCTCCATGTCCTATTCTTCTTCTATGCATCTCATAGCTATTTGGGAACATAAGGGCAAAGATGAGGTATTGCATCCTGGGGGCTTGTGCTTGTTCTCTTGCCCTCTTTCTGAAACAAGAGAGTCTGGTTGCATGAAGAGTTTACTGCATTGAACGGATGTATGGTGCAATAGGAGACTAGGGCAAAACTGTTAGTCTAATCGCAGGGAAGAAGCACATCTTACATGATACAAACCCTAAAGCTATGGTAATTGGAGAAGCTATTATTGAAGAATAAATGCATGTCTGTCTCAGGAGTTTGGCAGTTAGTCCACAACCCTAGCATATCACTGGGTTATCCCTGCAAATTTACAGAAATGGAAATGTTTCTCTGTCCTGTAATGCGTATCTAAATGAGACAATTGACAATAATAGAATGCTGTACAGAAGTTAATGTAATGTGTTGGATTGCTGCCTGCAGACAGACAGACAGAGGCAGCCTTGATACTGCTAAGGGGTATACAGAGGAACATCAGTGTGCTCTTTTTTCCATGAGGAAATGTGGAGTGTGTGTACCATGTGGAAGTTTTATGGAAAAAGACAGCTGTGCATGGGAAGGATTTTTTCTTTTGGGAGTGTGTTGTGGTGTTTTTGTAATAGGGTTGAGGTGCAATTGAGTAGTTTGAGGATGTTTAGTGTTGGGTGGCACCTGGGTCTGTGACAGTCAAGGTTGCCTTCCCTTTGACTGTTCTGTGGCCATTACACATAAATACAGGTTTATATGAGATGCAGAGTTTTGTGATTGGAACAAGTGTAGTACAGTATCAAGCCAAAATAGCTTATTGTCCCTACAGCTGGAAACCTTTGTGGGTTTTTCATCCTCAAGGAATTAGGAAGCATAGTTGGCTTTTGTTTCAGCTCGTGGCCAGTACACTCAGCTGGGAAACAAATAGTTGGCTCCTAGTGTCACTGTGGGTTTCCTGTGAGAACTTGTGAAGCCATGTAATCCTTCTGTGGCCCAAACAAGAGCAACAACATGTAGCTACTCCACAATACGTATTTGGTAGGTTCTTGTATTCATGTTAGGATGTTGGTGATCTTCAGATCAAAGAGACTGTGGAGATGGAAAGTATTCTTCTTGCCATGTGAGTTTGCTTGCTAATTCTTTGGGCTTTGTTTTCAAGGTATCTCAAAGCATATTTCTTCTCTAATTAGCAACCTGTAGCTAACATTTCTTTTAAAACAAGTAAGATTTCTAAGGCTGTTTGAATGAACTTCACAAGTGTGTGGCAGTCTCGAACATTCAGATGCAAAGCAAAGCCGAGACTGAAATTTTGATCACTGAGTTTCACATGTACTGGCATTTCCATGAAAAATATCACTGCAGAGCCCAAACACAGACCTGCCCCTGGCACATTGCAGACTGTGGTGAAAGGCATTAGGCATGTGTTTTCTAAGGACTAGGGGCAATGCAGATGTCATTACATGCAGTCACGTTGAGCAGGTGGGATCCTGGTGCTTGGATGCCTCACTGGAGGAAAGTTTCTCCCAGCTGATCAGCTACAACACAGGGCTGTAATTTTATAGATCAAAGTCACCTAGCTTTTCACATGGAGAGCAGAAGTAATAACAACGCTGTAGTTGCTATTTACCTCTATCAATAGGGGATTTCTACAGCCCTTTACAAAAGGGATCATTTGCTGTTTTAGTGATGAGAAAATCAAGTAGCTGAGCAGAGAAGCAGCTTCTCCAGGCTTTGTTTCAGCAGGCCATGTCTGAAGGATACCGAAGAAGATCTCAGTATGTGACATATGGGTAAAAACTGCCGCTAAAATCATTCTGCTTTTAATCCTTGTCTCATTGTGGAATAGTAAATGTTTACTGTGTTTCTGTGTTAATCCTTGCAGCTTTCAGCCGTGCCCCGGTCCCCATGGCTGTGGTCCGAAGGGAACTGTCCTGTGAGAGTTACCCCATAGAGCTTCGCTGCCCCGGAACAGATGTTATCATGATTGAAAGTGCCAACTACGGGAGGACTGATGATAAAATCTGTGACTCTGATCCTGCTCAGATGGAGAATATCCGCTGTTATCTGCCAGATGCCTATAAGATTATGACTCAAAGGTATAGTATTTAATATTCTTTGTTTGCTAGCTGTTGTTTGTGTTTTTTTTTTTTTTTTTAATCTGGTATGTACACATCAGTTTGTTTGTATGTTTGCATGAGAAAATGCAGGTACTTAGTCTCTATGTATGTGCACAGAATTACAGCTGTTGTTGATAAACTGTGATTTACCAGAGTGAGCTAGGATCACACAGTATAAATAACATTTGCAATAAGAACTGCTAATCAGCTATCTTGATACCTGCTGAGTCTCGGTTTTACCTCTGAAATACCTAAATATCAATGTTCTTTATGTGAATATATAAATGAAGCTTTTCTCAAATGCACCTTCTTTCTTTGATGCTCTGCTTATACAGATAACCAGTAATCTCCTTTTAGTGATATTGTGTTTTCTCAATAACATTTTTATTTTTCAAAGTACAAAGAAAAGTCTCTATCATTCTTCAAGTTGCCAGGCTCAGTGTTGGACGGGATCTGAATTCACAGTCAAGTACTCATCCAGGATTGTTGCTTTTGCAGATGGCTTGCTAACTTTCTGTACAATTACCATTGCTGTTAAGTGGAAATGGCAGCTGAGGTGCACTGCACGTGTGCAGGTTCTTGTACTGCAGAACCAGGGCCAAACAGATTATTCCAACCTCTAGATATCCTCGTTCTGGAACAACTTTAAGTGTTGCTGAATTTTTCCAGATTTTTTTTGGCATAAGAATCGGCGTGGGAAGGATTTGTAAGTCACAGCTCTTGACATTTAATCACATTCAGTGTGTTTCTCTTAATATAACTACACATGAATAATTACTCGGTATATTTTACTATTAATTAAATAGTAATATAAATGAGTGTTTTAGGATATTAATAATAGTATCGACATAGGGAAAGTGTTGCTAATTGAAGACATGGCAACAGTGCTTGTATGGTGACCTAATGGCTAAAGTTGTACAGGATTTTAATGGAGTATCTTGCTATTGTTTGCTGTAAAATGCTTTGCCCTAAAAATGGAGTTGTGTTAGCAGCAGAAAAGAAAGTGTGGATTTCATTTGTATTTGACATGCTAATGGATATTTTTGAGCTTCCTTCAGAATTGTTCCATGTCAAAGGTTTAGATTCTGAGTTGCTGCAAAAGGCTCCTATAAGCCCGCTCCCCTTGGCACTTCTATAACTCGGATCTCCCTGCCTAGCTGCTTGAAGTCATTTTTGTGGGGTTATGCTGGTTGCTTTTTCAAAATAAGTGTGAAGGTAACAACGTGACATCATCCAGTCCCTTGGATTCAGCATGGTTTTAGTGGAATTACTGTAATTCTCCTGTTCGAGTTGTTAGTGGCTTCAAGCAGAAACCCTTAATCCTCTCCACATTGGCAGAATAAAACCGTGTCATCCCCTTTGTGGGCCATTACAATGTATTAATATTTCTTTATATATGTGGTAGCATCCTCCAGACACTACCTTCCTAGCCATGTGCAGAGCTCTGCAATCTCCTGGTCAGTTCCCAGGTGTAGCAAGACTGCAATAAACATTAGCCTCTTGGTCAGAGAGGGCACGTAATCATGTTGTGTGATGAAAATTCACGTTGGTTACTCTGTTTCTCATGCTGTCACTGCAGGCTTGAACTGCTTTGCAGAGAGTAAGCAGGGAAGTACTTCTCTAGGGCAAAGCATCTCTTTTCCCATCTGAGCAGAGAGGGATTACTATGGAGGATGGTCACTGAGGGGGACGTTTCTTGTCAGGGAAATGAGAATCCCTGCTGACTGAATATTAAAATCCATGCTTGATTCTGTGTGTCAGTGAGGAGCCTCAGGAAAGGGTGATAGCTCTTTTTGCTTAAGCTATTTGATGATCAGTTTTCATGAAGTGTGCAATCATGTTATTAATTGGGTACTTCTGAGTTTCTTGAAAGTAAATATGACCTGATTCTAGTTAAAAGGCAGGTTAAAAAGGGGGAAAATACTCCACTTTACATTTTTATGCCATTCTCCTTTCTCTTTTAATCTGCCTCAATTCAAAGAGTTGAATAAAAATTAAAAATAAAACTATTAAAATGAAACGCATTCTCAAGATGCAAACCAGCCTGCCGGTTCACAGCTCAGAATGCCGCCTTGTAGCTGAGCATCTGAAAACAGCAGCGTAAAGGGAAAATCCTGACAGTCTAGGCATTGTGGCACTAACGATGGCATTTTCTTCTGAAAGCCTCTACCTGCACAATTAATCAGTTCAGCAGTATTTGGGTGGTTTTGCAGATGAATGCAGGTTTTACTACAATAAGCTTGTCTTTGCTAATGCCGTGGAGTGGTGGAAGCAGCTACTCATGGCAGTGTAACCTGCATGGTAATCAGAGCTGTCTGCACATGGAAAGCAAGACTGTATGCACAGTGCTTGCTTATTATGCATTGATTAATTTTCACGTTCATAAATACGGTCCCCTTGTAGTTTTTATAATAAGTTGTCTAACTGCTAGCAATTTTTGATCAGCAATGCTGTACAGCCAACTTATATGCATTATGGCATGGCTGAGGGGAGGGGGAGACTGAAAGGTGGGGAGAGAAGCATGTCAGAGAGACAGAGATGTTAGTATGTGAGCCGAGGCTGCGAGTGGGCAGATTTATGGCAGATATTAGTGACTGCTCCCCCAAGGACCACCCCCTCCTCCCAAAATTGAGCTGGCATGCTCCTTTCTTCTGTATGTTTATTTAAATTAATTTTGCAGACGAGTACATGGGGTTATTTTGAAAGGGAAAGGCATAAATCTGATGGTGTGTTTGCGGAGCCCCCTGAATGGTTAGGACACAAGGAGTTTTCACTGCAAGTGTTGCCCTGAAAAAATCTCTGAAATCTTCAGAGCATTGCTGTAAGTAAGGAAAGTTTAAACAGCTTGTTTTATAAGAAATTAAATCTTTGTGGCCTGTTTTGTTTTCAAACTTGCTGGCTCTTCCTTCCAGCATTAGTGCAGCAGCTGCCCATAAAAGCTCAGAAAGAGTGCTTTATGGATTGAAGATTTTTCTAATATAATTAGGGAGAAATGTACTTCATAGCATGTTTACTTTGGAGAAATGTCTTTTTGAGGGCTGTAACAAACAATTAAATTTTAACCCTACCCACTATAAGCTGAGCGTACGGCACTGTGGGAGACTTCACCATGTCCACCCTTGAGCAACTGTGCCATAAAATTAACGTATCATCCATTTAAGCAGCCTGAGTCCTCCTCAAACAATAGGGAAAAGCAAACTCCTATTCCCATGAGAATTGTCTTTGTGTTTATAAATGTTAACACTGCCATTTACTCTGTTTAAAAAAAAAAAAAAAGCAAAAAAACACACAAATGCTGTGTGTCTCTTTGTGCATGCTGGTGGTTTCACTGTGGTTGGTGGAGGTGGTCACCTGCTAGCACACAAGTAGAAGGCTTCAACTCAGGCAAGGGATTTAAGCATTCATTGGGATTTCAATGGATTCAAGGGATTTCAGCCTCCTTGATTCGGACATGCATGCTAGCATGTGCTTCTTTTTAGGCACATGCTAGATTGTTTTGTTGAACAAAGATCTGCCCGTGTACTTTCTTGGGTTAAAGTCGATAGAACAAAGATGATGGATGGATCAGGCTTGTATGTATGTTTGCAGAAGGACACACTGTTGATACCACCTTTGTTTTTAACTTTATAATTTGAAACAGACCATTTTACTGAGCTTATTATCCTTTCCTGTAGGTTTTAGCCTTGAATGTTGGAATGAGAAGAAAGTCTGAGTATACATGCAGACGTATGTGCACACAAAACAACAGCAGTTTTTGCCTTAAAGACAAGATAAAGGCTTTCTTTTGCTTTCCAGATATGGGGAGTAAAAGAATCCTTCTCTACCCTAACAATTATCTGTTGGTCTTAAGTTGGAGAAAGGAGAGGAAAGAGGGAATAATGAGACAAAACCAGCAGGCGTAACGGAACAGCCAGGGGAGAAATGTTCACAGGTCTTAACATCTATTCTCAAAATCAAAGCAAAATTCCTTCTGACTTTTCAAAGATGTGAAGGTATAAAATATGGAAAGCTCTTGCTGGGAAGCTCTCTTGTATCTCTCAGAAACTCAGAGAGCTCTGTATGCAAAGGGGATCACTTGCACAAGTCTTTGACCAATTTGCACAGGTCCTGCCTTTTGTCCAGGACAAGCTGCAGAACTCTTCCATGCCAATGTTGGCACTTCATGCTTAGAGATGCTGACTGAAAACTGTTTGGCTTCTCTTCCCTCTTCTCTTCTGAAGGAAGCACTGGACTCATTTTGCCTTCCACCAGTGTACTCTGATGTAAAGCAGGATCTTGGCATTGCACTTTCTCATCTCCTCTGGTGGCTGAGCAGAAGAGAGAATTTCTTGTAGCTGGGGTACTTGTATTGTACTTGAATACTTATTGTATTGTACTTGAATTTCTTGTAGCAGTTGGGTACTTGAGCTAGTTTCTTTTAGGTTCAGGTCTGATCTGTGTGGTTGGTCCCCTGGGGTTTAGGTGTTGGCATCACTGAAGAAGCCTGTAAGTCAAGACTTTAAAAAAAATAAAAATAAAAAAAAAAATAAAAAAGTTAAGAACATGAGAGTGATGAGAGTGTTGTTAGGCTCCATCCAATGGCCTGATTCTTGTATGCAATCTTGTATGTAAGGTGGGACATTTATAATTTCCCTGATAGCTGGAAGAATGCTGGCAGGCACTTTGCACAGGGTGGAGCAGAGGAAGGAAACTGTATGAAACAGCTTGCATCACGTTGCAAAGATTTTTCATCTCCTGAAGGGCTGTGTTTTGTTAATGTTTTTGGTTGATGACCTGAAAAATGCAGGAGTCTGAAACGAGTGTCATTATTATTGTAATAATATTGCATCTCATAGCATGCTGTTATTGATGCTATCAGCACCTGTGATTTCCAAGACATCTCAAATGCTAGTGAGATCTGCTCTTGTGTCAGGAAATAAAGAGGCTGGGTTATCTGTATTTTACAGATAGGGTAATTCACGTTAATCATTCTTAAAGTG